CATGGCAGTCGAAGTTGCAGAAGTGTGTCGCACTATCTACAATTGAAGCGGAGTATATTGCGGCTACTGAAACTGGCAAAGAGATGATATGGCTCAAGAGATTTCTTTAAGAACTTGGATTGCGACAGATGGAGTATGTTGTCTATTGTGACAGTCAGAGTGCAATAGACTTGAGCAAAAACTCCATGTACCATGCGAGAAAAAGACACATCAACGTTAGATATCATTGGATTCGTGAGCAAGTGGAGAACGAATCAGTTCAAGTCAAAAAGATTCACACGAGTGAAAATTCTGCAGATATGTTGACCAAGGTGGTACCAAGAGACAAGTTCGAGCTATGCAAATAATTTGTCGGCATGCACTCAAACTAGAAGACAGTGCTACCTCCTCTAAATGAATGAGACTGGAGGGGGAGATTGATGGTGTCCATCTCATTCAAATGGTTTGGTAGCCAACCTTGTTGAATTGGTATTGGTTTGGTAGCCAACCTTGTTAAATTTATATGGTTTGGTAGCCAATTTTATTGACTTGGTTTGGTTTGGTAGCCAACCTTGTTGAAATTGTGAAAAGTGTGTGCAAATTATCAAATATTGTAGGCTTTAGAGAATGAGTTTTTTTGGCTATAAAAGGAGAGCTTCAACTCTCATTTCATCACATCAACAAAGAGAGAAAAGAAAGAGAGCAATGTATTCCATAAACTATAAGAAAATAGTTTGTGAAGAAAAATAGAGTGTGAGAGATATTGTAGTGAGGGAGAAAAAGCAAAAGAGTGTTTATTTCTTTTGAGAGTGTAGTGGTCTTAGGAGTATTTTTACTCGTTACTACACAGTGTAAAATTCCTCGCTATAGTGATATCAGTTGCTCTTCTTGGCCGTGGTTTTTCCCTTATTCAGAAGAGTTTCCACGTAAAATCTTGGTGTCATTATTGCTGCATTTCTATTCTTGCTGATTTAACTCTAACTTAGTGTTCTGCGTTTATCACTAATACCGTGAATATTATTTTACGGGGTTTATTCCCAACAGAATAATTACCATGAAATGGAAGATGCAGATCTATATGACAACAAGAAAATTCGTTCTGCTGCAGCTAAAAAATGAGAATGTTCACCTCATATACAATCATCAAATATGACTTCTCAACTATATATCTTCAAGTTCCTCTTCTTGAATCTTGATCCAGGATATTTGCAAATTTCTTCCAGTCTCTTTTGGTCTGCACAAAACATGTTTTATGTTGCATTTCTTGCTCATTTTCGACAAGAAACAAAAATGTTAACAGATATTAACACAATCTTTCTTTAGGCCTAGCAATCAATTAGAACACGAGATTTTTGGCTAAAGAACAAGGCAGAATTGAGGCTCTACAAAATCCAATGAGAAAAGTAACAAAAGTTCAAAGCTTCTATGAGAGTGTTACTTCTTCCTCAAATCTCTTAGAATCAACCTTAAGATTTCTATAACTGAACCCTGGGATTTCATTCATCCTACAGTTCTCAGAAACTTCAACCATAGAACACATTGCAGGTAATCCACCACCATTGCCTCTTCTCTTCTTCTTTCTCCATTTCATCGTCAAGAACCCGAAACTAGGCCAAGAACTGCTACCACCCGAATTTATTTCCACTGTACTCTTCTGGGATTTGTTATTAGAATTTCCTCTACAATCCGGCTCGAGTCTTCTAAAATACTCAATCTCCTTCTTCAAAAGTGATCCTACAGTTCCCCTTGTGCCTACCTCAACCGGCACACTTGCACTCATTTTATCAGAGAACCGACTAGTGATGCTGCTAGTAGCTCTGTATAACATTTTTTTGAGAGTCTTGTTTGTGAAGAATAAATTGGCAGTAGTTTTTAAGTCATATTATGGTGGTAGGGATGATATTTGCTTGCATTAAGGAGCAACTATTCTATAGTGCTAATGATAGTGTTTATAGACAATGCTTTTTTGTTGAAAGTGGACAGCGTGAGGCTCTGCATAATTGTAGCAGTGGATGGATGGAGATGTAATCATCAACCAAACTTGTAATCAACGCATACACCTAAATATAATTACTATTGTTTTACCTTTCCGTCTCTGACTTATTTGGCTGATCCAAGTTAGTCATCATGATCAACCCCATTCAGGACCTAAGTCAAGAAAGAAAACTTGGGGTATATAATACTTACACCCTTGACCCTTTCCTCTCTTTTTTTTTTTCAATTTTTTCAATTTTTTTGCTTATTAATCTAATGCTAAAAGATTGAACTTAATCATCTCTGTCAGCAGATCATGCTTGTGTGGTCCTCAGCAATCAATGTCCAGGCTTTTTTAATCCCTTGCTTTGTAAATAATCATAGGATAATCCGAATTAATATTTGGTGTTAACTTCTTACCGGGTATAACTATAGTCCGAAAAGATTATAGTGGCTACGCCGCCCCAATAAATTTAAAATAACCTTTTCGCTATCCTTGGCTATTTAATTGAAACCTTAAACAAATAACAGCAGGCACCAAATCTCTTCTTCTTACAAGGTCCTAAAGCGACGTTTACCTAAGATTGCAATCCTTTTCTAAGCTAAAGAGACCATTACCAAATAAGTATTCTTATAAATGTACAATGCTGCACTGCTTCTTATTACCAAATAAGTATGTCTCAATTTTTTTAATTTTTTCGGAAATAGTGTCCGAACCAGTTTGCAAACTATTTTATCACTAGTACCTGCTACCTCCCATCAGATAACAGGTAACTGAGAGAAATCATCTACCGAGGTTTGGTCAGACGAAAAGAGACCAGCTAGTGTGATTTGAACCCTAATCCTCCATAATTTTCATCCACTTTATTGACGGTTAGACCTCACCCTTTATATTGATATTTCGTATGTCACAAGAGCGCATGAGTTGATCCCAACTAGTTTTTGTGTAACAAGCACCAACATCTCATCCTTTATAAAGTGCACGGAGCACTTGAGCACACCAGATTCTGATAGCATGTTACAAATTGCGTCACCATCCAGCACTAACCAAGTAGAAGAACAAAGAAATGAGCCTGCTTTTTGAAAAAGAAAGTAAAGAGACAGCACATCAGAATTGGAGGATAGTGCCCATAAGAGATACTACTAGTAAAGGTAGTAACTTGGTAAGGAAACAAAGATCTTGTTTCTATCTCAAGGGCTAAACAGAACTGAATGCAACTAGAGCTGTGTCTAAGATGAAGCTCCTTGCGGTTTTAACTAATACTATTTATATAGTCAAAGCAGCAAAAGAAACAGCTTTAATGTTATGCAGACTGTGGGCTTCTGTGGTTCTGGAATAATGTTATGAACAGACATGGTAGCCTCAGAGTTTCTGTTGTTTCCCATCTTTTAGCAGATGTGCATAAACATCATAAGGGATAAATAAGTAATAAGAAAGATTTCCACGAAATGGAAGATGAAAATCTGCACGAACTACAAGAAAATTCGCTCTGCTTGCAGGCTAAACATGAAAATGTTCCCCTCATATACAATCATCAAATATGACTTCTCAACTACGTTGAAGTTCCTTTTTTGATACAGATAAAACTGCAAATTTCTTTCAATTACAAGAACCTAGAAATGTCCAGTCATTTGATCTGCACAAAACATTTTTATGTTGCATTTCTTGCTTACTTCCACAGGGAACCAAAATATTAAAAATATTAACACAATCTTTTTTAAGGCCTAACAATTGAAGGCAATCAGAAACACAAGATATTTGGCTAAAGAATAAGGGAGAATTCAGGCGCTACAAAATCCAATTAGACGACTAAAAAATTCAAAAGCTTCTTGAGAGTGTTACATCTTCCTCAAATCTCTTAGATCAACCTTAAGATTCCTATAACTAAACCCCGGGATTTCACTCAGCCTACAGCTCAGAAACTTCAACCATAAAACACATTGCAGGTAATCCACCACCACTGCCTCTTCTCTTCTTCTTTCTCCATTTCATCGTCAAGAACCCGAAGCTAGGCCACGAAAGGCCACCACCACTAGAATCTATTTCCAGTGTACTCTTCAAGGATTTATTAGAAATTCCTTTTCCACAATCCAACTCAAGTCTTCTGAAATACTCAATCTCCTTCAGAAGTGATCCTACAACTCCCGTTGTGCCTACATCAACTGGTACACTTGCACTCATTTTATCAGAGAACCTACTGGTGATGCTGCGAGCTCTGTATTAACATTTTTTTCTCAGAAAAAAAAGAAGAATTTCCGAGATTGTGGAATGCTTATTTGTGATGAATAAATTGGAGGTTTTTAGTGCTAATGATAGCGTTTATAGACATGCTTTTTGTGGAAAGCGGGTAGCGTGAGGCTCTGTATAATTGTAGCAGTGGATGGGGATGTACCTCAATATAAATATATTCTTTTTGGCAACAGAGCATTAAGTGGATAAAAATTAAGGCTCAACGAGTAAGTCAAAATATGTGATATATTGCTCCTATAAGACCACTTTTATGAGGTGCAGATGGCAACCATCTTGTGCACTCAGTGCTGTAAGAGAGAGCAACATTTCTGATCCTTTATCCTTGGCTGGTCCAACATCAACTCTCAATCTGAACTTGTGGACAAGCTATAAGCAGGAACCTTGGCAAGTTTTGTCTCCTTCATAATTGCTCTCATTCTCCTTACCTCTTCCCACATGCCATTACTGGCATAAATGTTGGACAATACCACATACACTCCATCGTTCCACGGTTCTAACTGTTGCAGGTGCTTAGCCACCCATTCTCCCATTTTCACATGCCCATGCTTCTCACAAGCCCCCATTAGGCACCCCCAAATCACAACATTTGCTTTCATTGGCATACCTTCAATCGTCCCTCTTGCCTCCTCGAGCAACCCAGCCCTACCAAGCAAATCCACCATGCACCCGTAATGCTGCAACATGGGTGCAATACCATATTCATTCTTCATCATGCTGAAATAATACTTTCCTTCTTGCACCATCCCACCATGTACACAAGCGCTCAACACCCCAATAAATGTCACATGGTTAGGCCTAACACCTGCCTCCCTCATGCAACGGAAGCATTCAAGCGCATCTCTAACATACCCATGCATCGCATAACCAACAATCATAGAAGTCCACGAGGATACATTTCTTTCTTTCATACTTGAGAACACCCTATAAGCAAGATCCATCTTCCCACATTTACCGTACATATCAATGAGAGAATTCATCATCAAAAGATCAGACTTTTCCAACGCTTTTGCTTGAAAGACGCATTTATGCAATTGAAAAGCCAAATCCAAGTCTCCAAGAGCACCACAAGCTGATGTCACACTAACCATGGTTACATCATCAGGCTGTAACCCACTCTCTCTCAACTCCAAGAACATTTCTATCGCTTCTTTAGCACGCCCACCTTGTGACAACCCTGCTATAATAGCATTCCAAGACCCCAACTTTCTTTCAGTATTTTGTTCAAACACCTTACGAGCATTCTCAAAGTCACCACCCTTTGAGTACAGACTAATGAAGCCACTCTCACAATACATATTAGTGTCTAAAGCGTGCTTTACTGCAACCCCATGAAGCTGCCGTACCATAACAACATAATTCAGAACAATAGCTTTTAAAACAATAGGTAGGGTGAAAGTATCAGGAGGAACACCAGCTCTAGACATAGTGATGTACACATGTAGTGCCTTACTGGGGGATTGAAGCCTAGTATATGATCTGATAATGTTGTTCCAGTGAAATTCTGCAGGATACAACTCCAAGAAGTGATTTCGGATTATGTGGGCGTAAATTTGGTCGAGCTGCTCTAGATTATTGCAGTTTGATATTCGGGTCGCTAGTGTCTTGGCATAATCAGGAATATCAACGAGGGTGGCTAAACTATGACTAAGCTGAAATGAGTTTACTACTCTGTTTCTACCAAATCGGAGCAAGAAACAATGAAATAGACTCATTAATAATATTTAGTTGGTATTAAACTCACTTCTTACCCTATCGTCCAAAAAGATTATCGAGCCTACGCCGCCCCGGTAAATTTAAACGCAGACACCTGAGATTGCAATGCTGCTTAACTAAGCTAGAGACCGTTACCTTTAGAGCTGTCAATATGGGCCGGGCTAGGCTAACTAAGCTAACAGTCCGGCCCACGGGAGCTTTAGCAATTGACGGGTTGGGCTAGCCCACTATTTTGATGGGCCTTATAATGGTCAGCCCACCTTAGCTCTATGTGGGCCGCGGGCCCTCACGGGCCGACCCATTATTTTTAAAAATATAATTTTATATTTTTTCTTTAAGTTCTGACCTAAAAAAAGATAATTATTTAAAAGTAAAAAAATATCTTATTGGAAAAAATTCGCAAAACTTAATAACTTTTTATATTGTTCCAATATATCACAATAAATACTAAAAAAAGAAAAAAAAACATGACTATATTTCATTCACTAAAAGTCAAAACTTAAAACAAACTATTCAAGAGAACGTCCATGATGCTTATGAGATATCCAACACATCATCTTCACCAAACACATTTGAATCCGCTTGTGACAAGGTTGTCTTAACATCTTCACTTTCATCTACAATTCATATGCAATATTAATTAGTTAAATATTAAAAATAATTAAATTTTAAAAATTAATAATATTTAAATTCACATAAAAAAATATTACCAGTTTGAGTTCGGGAAAACCTATGCAACCAATTTCAAGTAGTAACAAGTGTTTGGACATTTTCATAATAAATGCAACTTCTGTACTTTGTAAGAACACGCCATCAATGCTAAATGTTGATTCCGATGGTACAATGGTAATAAGAATGCTAAGTACATCACGCACCATCATTCAAAGATCGAGATATTTTCTAGAATGGTCCTTCCAATACATGACAACATCATCTCTTGAAACTTCTCAAGATCAAGTTTTGGTTTCTCTTAGTAAAGATCCAATTCTGACTTTTTCCATCTCTAAAAACAGTATACTTTTTATTTTTTATATATTTTAAATAAATATTTTATTAGGCCCATGGGCCGGGCTGGCCCAGCCTCACGGGCCACGAACTTACTCGGGCCGGGCTTAAAAGCCTCGTTTTTAAACGGGCTCCAAAAATTCTAGCCCAACCCTGCTAAATCACGGGTTGGGCTGGACTTATTGACGGTTCTAATTACCTTATTACATACATGACCATATTGAATAGTCTAGGAAAGGAATAAAATCTTTACGTGGAGAGAGAGGGGGCTAGGTCAACCTTACGCATAGTTCTCTACCGGGGGCTACTAGCAGCGTTGAGAGAGGGCTAGGTCAACCATATGCATAGTTCTCTACCCGGGGCTACTAGCAGCGCTGAAAAGAGTTACTCGATATCTATCTACACCACTGTTATAAAATGCTGAACATCCTTCTTATGCTCTCTACTTTTATAGCATGCCATAAGAGCTTAGGTGCATGGATTCCTCGTATACTAATTGCAGTTGGCCGCAGCACTTGAGAACACTAGATTTTGGTGGAATATTTCAACTTGTCAACGTCCAAGCAGAAACAACAAAGAAATGAATCTGCTTTTCACAAGAAAAAGAAAATAAATAGCTAACCTCCACTAGGGTGGTAATAAAAAATCGCTGTTTTATCCATTAAATTAATTGCACTGTACATGTTACTAATTGGGATACAAAACCTTTGTAAATCTGAAAGTAACTTTATACGGAAGAATCTACAAAACTGGGCCATATAAGAAAAACAAAAATATCCATCAATGACTAAGAACATAACAATTAGTTCAGAGCCTCAAAATTGGATCTTTCTCTCGCTTCTTTAAATTATTATTACTCATTTCTACTGATTTTTTCTCTCGCCACGCTTGCTTCTTTCTATCCTTTTCCTTTCATTTGCTTGTACAAGTATAATTCTTCTCTACAAAGTATGGAATAATGAGGAGACCATGCAAATGCCCGTTACTCAAGCAACAACATGCAGTCAGCATAAGCATTAGCTGACTCGCGCCTCCCTTGGGACTATCCAGGCCAGAGAGGACCAATGAATTATGGTACACTGTGAAGATGGCATGAATATCTTAGGCTCCGATGTGAGGCACGAGCATGTTGTAATGCATCATTTATCTTTGAACCACCCTGAAAAAGAGACTCATAGAACTGACATATGAACTGGGACAACTCCCCCTCATCATCATCCCAAAAGAACTGAGAGCGTCCTTCACTTTTCTCTGGTTCACTATCTTCCCAATCACTTGCTGGACTAGAAGGTTCAGTATCATCATCCTCTCCTTCTTCTTCGCCAATTTCAAACTTCCCATTATCAAAAGAATTAAAATCACCTGACCCGTGAAGTGTAGACAACTGCGCTTCATCAGGCTCAGTGGAAGGACATATAACAGCTTTAGCTCCTGAATCTAGAAAAGCCTTGATTAGAGGTTGGCTAGGGCCATAGAAACCAGTGAAGATTATAATTCTCTCCCTCCATGCTCCAATCTGGAAGGTTTAACAAATATTAAAGAGTTAGTGTTGCCTCCTTTCTTATTCATCTTTTATTTTCTTGGATGAATGTGTATGCATAGAGTAATAGGTCACAAAAAAGTATAATGAACAGGCCTCTTTGTCTTCGAACCCGAGACAGAAACAGACCAGTCATTAAAAAATAAAAACTCAAGTGCAGATCTTGGAATGATGCAGATGAAGTATGATGCATGTCTCCACTAGGGAGCACCAGCACTACAGAGCTTTATCTGCAGACGACCTCACTGCTTCCATGTCAGGGCCGAAGCAAAAGTCCCCTGCGAGCTCTGAGTGCTGAAGGGCTTATCCTTTCCGCGGATACTTGAACCCAAGCAAGTAAGTTTAGTTGTCATATATAGAACCCAGCTGATTGCTGGTTAGTCGTGACTACTTCAATCAAATGATGCAACCATATAACATCATTGCGAAGAGATAAATTTCTTCTCACATACATAATCTTGCAATGAAAGAAATATGCAACACTGAATCACAAAAATGATCAGAGAGAATACCATCCACCGAATATCTTCTGAGGTTAAATGCATTGAAGGAACGGTCCTACGAAACATATAGGCACCAATTTCTTGGTCATCTTCCATGACCTTCAGAAGACAAAGACAAAATAGGAAATTCATAAATTCTTAGTTTCCAAAAGCAAAAGTATTTATCAAATAAAGGATGACCGGCATAACATTGAGGCATACCTGCGTCTGACGCCCAATATAACGGTGGACTACACCACCTATTTGGAAGCATGGCCTACATTTAACAAGATCAGCAACGGTTGAGATATCCGTGATAACTGATGCATACTTTCTCCGGCGGCCCCGCATCATTGACAGCAAGCTAAACTTGACACTCTGCAGAAACTTATCGGCTAGTTCTCCAGGTTCGGCAACCACGAATACATCATTCTGCCAACTACCTCGTAGAAGTAGATGACATTAGGACGACAAACAACATTTCCAGCAAGTAACCATAAAATATGGAATATCTAACCTCAGTACAGATCCAGATGTATCATTTTGCAGAGCCAAGTGCACAACTCCAACCTGAGGTGAATTCTTTAGTTTCTCATACAAAGAATGCACAGGCAACGAAAGCTGTCGACGCTTTCGAGGAGACTCAGGCGGCGAGGCAGTTGTTTTCGCAGATTGTAATCCATCCAAGCTTAGTGGTGGAACTAAATCAATTCTACCAACCCTATGAGCCCCAATATCAGGACTGTATAAGAGAGGGCTTGAAGGGAAGCTCCCAGTGAACAATGGTGAAGCAAAAGGTGTCGGAAAAGTTGATCCTGGAGCTGCTTTCTGAGTGCCTGATATGCCACTGAAAAGACTGAGTTTTATTCCATTATGAGCACAAAATGACTCAAGTGAGCGAGCATGATGAAAGACTCTTCCAGCATCTGCACTATTTGAGGCCTCGACAAGTAGCACGCTCCGCCTCCAACCTAAAGAAGGACTGCTCTCATCTGGAAAAAAAAAAAGAATCCTTCAAAGGTCAATCCATCTTAGACAAAAGAATATCATGGCAAGCAATCAAATATGATTCAGCACATACCAGTTTTAGAATTCTTCGATTTGAGAAACTGATGGGACTTGAAATTATCTGAAAATTTCTCATCATGTGGCCTCTCTAACAATCTTTGACAAATATTCTTGAAAGCAACAGAGGTGTTTTGAATGTACTCATCTGTTGCGGCCTCTAACTTTAACCAGACAGCAGGGTCCGTCTCATCTAGCTCCATACCACATCGGTCGTCAACTGCATCCCAGATATATAGAAGACATGTTAAGAATGTGAAAAGAAAACCAAAAATTAATATCACCATGGCACAAGACTAGATCATACTAATAACCATTTTCTTTTGTTCTGGGTGATTCCAAAAACTTGAGATGTTAATGAAATGCCAAAATTCAGGTACAACAGAATTAGGAAAAGAAGGTTTCAGAAAAGAAAAGAAAGCAATCTTTTTGCTTTTAATATTCACCTCAGGCAACATGTAAAGTAACTTCACCTGGATTGAACCGAAAATAGTGCACATCAGGAAGCAGTTGAAGCAATGTACTTAAAGCTTCCTCCACCCGGTCAACTGAGCATGCACTCTCTATCAACACTTGGCCAGTGTCAAGGTAACGCCAGCCACCTTTGCGGACCTAACATAGCAGGGAAAATAGCAGAAACCCCTATAAATTGAACACCGAAGTAAAATGGCTTGAAGTAAATTTTATCTTGATTTTATCAAAACTTCCAGTAGCAATGGAGAGTAAACTTCAAACCTTGGCAATAAGATTTTATGCACATTTTTCAATGATTTTACTGTTTCTCTTAAAAGTAACCAACTGTGAATTCAACTCCAAAATTAGCAGCAGAAGATATGAATATTATAGAAATGTGCTATGATACAGGGAACACCATAAGAGAAAGAAATTATCAGTTAGTAAAAGTACTTGCTGACATCATGACATATTAAGAAGAAGAATAAAAGAATCTGCAGCTGACTAAAGTTACCAATTACAATAAAATTTTGTGAGTATCACACA